CTCTCTCCTCCTCTCTCCTCCCTTCCTCTCCTTCCTCCTCTCTCCTCTCTCCTCTTTCTCTCCTCTCTCCTCTCCCTCTCCCCTCTCCCCTCTTCCTCTCCTCTCTCCTCTCCCCTCGCTTCATCCTTCCTCTCTCTCTCTCCTCTCTCCCTCTCTCTCCTTCTCTCCTCTCCTCTCTCCTCTTCCTCTCTCCTCTCCCTCGCTCCTCCCTCTCTCATCTCCTCTCCTCTCCTCTCTCCCTCCTCTCCTCTCTCCTTCTCTCTCCTCTCTCTCTCCTCTCTCTCTCTCATCCTCGCCTCTCTCCTCTCCTTCTCCTCTCTCCTCTCCTCTCCCTCCTCCCCTCTCTGCTTCTCCCTCTCCTCTCTCCTCTCCTCTCTCCTCTCTCTCTCTTCCTCTCCTCTCTCCTCTCCTCTCGCCTTCCTCTCCTCTCTCCTCTCCTCTCTCCTCTCTCCTCTCCTCTCCTTCCTCTCTCCTCTTCCCTCTCCTTCTCCTCTCCTCTCTCCTCTCCCTCCTCTCCTATCTCCTCTCCCTCCTCTCCTCTTCCTCTCCTCTCCTCTCCTCTCCTCTCTCCTCGCCTCTCTCCTCTCCTCTCCTCTCCTCTCTCCTCTCCTCTCTCCTCTCCTCTCCTCTCTCCTCTCCTCTCTCCTCCTCCTCCTCCTCTCCTCGCCTCTCCTCTCTCCTCTCCTCCCTCTCTCCTTCTCTTCCTCTCCTCTCTCTCTTCCTCTCACTCTCCCTCCTCTCCCCTCCCCTCTCCTCCCCTTCTCCTCTCCTCCCCTCCCTCCCGCCCCCCTACCCTCCCCCTCCTCTCTCACCCCCCTCCTCCTCCCCTCCTTCCCTCCCCCTCCCCCCCTCCTCTCCTACCCTATCCTCCCCCTCCCCCTCCTCCTTCTCTCCTCCCCCCCTCCCCCTCCTCCCGCCGCCCCCTCCCCCCCCCTCCTCCCCCCCTCCCCCCTCCTCTTCCTCCTCCCTCCTCCTCCTCCTCCTCCTCCTCCTCCTCGCTCCTCCTCCTCCTCCCTCCCCTCCTCCTCTCCTCTCCTCTCCTCCTCTCCTCTCCTCCTCCCTCCCCCTCCCCCCTCCTCCCCCTTGCTCCACTCAGTGGCTCGCGTCGACAACACCAGTTACCAATTACCGCCACCATTGCTGTCTCTTGTCTGCCCTGGAAACTTTCGACCTCCGCCCTGTTTTTCCACCTCCCCCCACCCCCCCCCCCCCTCCCCCCCCCCCCCCCCCCCCCCCACCCCTCCCTCCCCAGCCCACTCTTACGCTGCTCCTTCTCTCCTCCTCCTTATTCTCCTCCTCTCTTCCTCTTCCTCCTTCCTGTTCTTCTCACTGCCTCCCCGCTCTTCTCCCTGTCAACCCCTCCTTTCCTTCTCCTCCCATATTCGCTTCTATCTCTCTCCTCCTTCTCCTCCCATTCCGCCCCTGCTCCTCTTTCACGTCTCTCTCCCAACTCCCGATCTTCCTCCTTGCCCCCTTCCCGTTGCTCCTTCTCCTTCTTTCTCCCTCTCTCTCCTTCTTTTTCCTTTTCCCTTCCCTCTCGGTATCCCGATGTTCCTCTCTCCCTTCCCTTTTCTTCTCCTCCCTTCCCTTTCACTTCTCCCTACCCTCTGCTCCATTCCTTCTTCTCCCTTCTCCCATTACTCCCTTCTCCTCCTCCCTCTCCCATCCCACTTTCATTCTCCTCCTCCTCCCCCATTCCTCCTTTCTTCCCCTTCCCCTCCTCCCCCCATTCCCTCCCTTCGTCTCCTTCTCCTCCCTCCTCCCCCATTCCCTCCTTTCTTCCCCCTTTCCTCCTCTCTCCCTTTAATTCGCCTTCCCTTCTCCCTCCCATTCCCTCTCTCCGTCCCCCTTATTCCTCCTCTCTCCCCTCATATTCCCCTTCCCTTCTCCTCCCCATTTCCACCTCCCTCCGTCCCCGTCCCTCCTCTCCATTCCTCCCTCCGTCCCCTTCCTCTCCTCCCTCCTTCCCTTCCCTCTCCCTCCCCCTCCTCCCTTCTTCCACTCCCCTCCTCCCTTTTCCCCTTCCCTCCTCCCCTCCCCCATTTCCCCTTCTCCCCCCATTCCCTCCCTTCTTCCCCTTTCCCCTCCTCCCTCCCCCATTCCCTCCCTTTCTTTCCCCTTTCCCCTCCTCCCTTCCCCCATTCCCTCCCTTCTTCCTTCGGCCCTCTCCCTCCCCCCATTCCCTCCTCTCCCCTTCCCCTCCTCCCTCCTTCTTCCCTCTTTCCCCCTCCTCCCTGCCTCCCCTTCCCCTCCTCCCTCCGCCCATTTCCCCTCCCTTCTTCCCCTTCCCCTCCTCCCTCCCCCTTCCCTCCCTTCTTCCCCTTTTCCCTCCTCCCTCCCCATCCCTCCTTCTTCCCCTTTCTTCCTCGCCCTCTCCCTCTGCCACCGGCCTTCCCGTTCCTCGACCTCGTTCCCCCTTCGAACCAGACCTGAAACCAGACCGAACAGCTGGACTTCCGCGGCCACAAGTTGCACGAGGACTGGCCCGTGGGGGGATGCG